AAAATAATCTCTAAATAAAAAAATATAAAAAATGAAAACTGTAAAAATTATGTCATGTTTGAAGCTATCTAAGTTAACAGTTTCTGTCACACCCCCCCCCCCCCCCCCCCCCCCCTCCCAATAACAAACATTAGTCCCTATAACGAAAAAATTTGTTGTCTCATTCAGCCTTGTGCAGATTTGTTAGGTAGTCAAAGTTCGGGAACGCAGCAACAAAAAAAAAGGCAACGAAAAAAAATTGGATCGTGGGAAAAGAAAACCAAGATGCCGATGTGATCGTCACTGGAACTAGGTAGTTCGTGCTTTGTACGACACTTATATAAACACGTATTTTAATACAACGTTACGTCATAATTTCAAAGCAATCGGTGAAAAACTTCAGGCATACACCTTCATGCAGATTTCTGAGGTTACCAATCAAAGTTCACCCCCCCCCCCCCCCCCCCCCAAAAAAAAAAACACGCCAGGAATGTGGCAACGAAACTAAAACCGATGTGATCGTCGCTGTGGTTATAATATTCGTGCTTTGTGCGACATTTTTGTTGTTTAAAAAAAAAAACTCGCTTATTCGAATCCAACGTTGAATCAAAATTTGTAAGCTATCGGCGATGCACTTTCGGAGATTAGCTATCACTAACCAACTATCATTTACACTTTTATTTATATAAATAGATATGGTCGGCGTCTGTGGCTTTGGCGTTGCGAACACGCTTCGCAAAACCGAGGTGCCGGGTTCGATCCCAGCAGCGGGCCCTGCGTCTTGCATTGGTTTCGACAGTGGTATCGAGTAGCCGACCGTCCAGAAAGCAGGCAAACTACTGAACGGAAATTTGCCTAGAAAACCCACAGCAGCCAAAAATGATGTGGTTGGTTCTACGACATCCTGTAAAGGATACGCAGCTAACTTGTTTAGATAGATATGTATGCATCTGTGCGCGCACACACACGGACAGAGGGATTAATGAACGATCACGGCAGGAGAGAAAGCATGTGGGCTGATGACAGCAGCATCGTCTGCAATCAAGAGAGACAAGTAAAGTCCCTTGACGACGAAAGACAGCTCAGTGAATGAAACCATGTGTTTTAGGGAGAAATGATGGGAGATTCAAATGTCAACCGTTTGTGTTTCGTTGAGCAGTTGCTTTGGTATTGACTTGATGATGGTAATAAGTGTAATTAGCTTTTCGTGCAGTGTCTTGAAAAGAAGTTGACTAGAGAATGTGGTAATGACTGGCAGGACTGATGGAACATAAGCAAGGGACAAATAAGTAAATGTAGGCTTTACTTTTATGGATGGGGCGAGACAAGAACACTAACCTGATCCGTGATTCTGGTCATCGTGTAAGGTAGCGAAACTTGACATCCCACGATTATCAAAACGACACATGATGATGATGATGATAAGCGTCTTTCCCAGTATAGCTGTCATTACTGTCTGTAGTTACCAGTGGCTGGTGTAGGACGCCGATGGGTGGAAATGTGTGTGTGTGTGTGTGTGTGTAAAGAAAGAAAAGGGGGAGGGGAGACATTTGAGAATTAAATGGCGCATTGTTAGTGTAGTCGCCACGAACTGTACAGGTTAGAAATTGTGCCCCAACAGAACACAATCTCAATCCCTTACTAAGGATAAAACCAGGGTCTCCCGCATAAGAGCCAGAGCTCTAACCACTCAGCCAGCCACTCCGTTTTTTCAGTACGCTTTCTACAATTCAAATTTACAACTGGGAAAAAAGTAATAGAACAAATGTGTGTATCACGTGTACACACACAAAATAATGTATCTCGAGCTTAAGTATAGAAGAAAACCCACAACAAAAGCAGTCACGTCTGTGTACGTGTGTCACGGTGGTATCAAGAGCAGTTCCACAAAATTCGGCAAACTAAGAAACTACACACATGCACTGAGTCATTGTTTGTGTGTGTGTGTGTGTGTGTGTGTGTGTGTGTGTGTGTGATTAAGGATTTGCTGTCAAGTTTAACAGGCGAGCCCAACTATATTATCTGTGTTATAGAAACCGGATTCTTATCAACAGTCACCAACTAGCTAGTCTGATATTGCTACAAATGTTATTTGTAAGGTTATCACAAACTGAATCATTTTATGTTGAAGATCTAACTTCGGCTGAACGTTTCAGCAGTACAGCAAACTGTGGAAGGACTTGTTTGTTTGGACAGCAGTCACGAGATAGAAGGCGTTATTTGGACAGCAGTCATGAGACTGAAGGCGTTATTTGGGCAGCAGTCATGAGATAGAAGGCGTTATTTGGACAGCAGTCATGAGACAGAAGGCGTTATTTGGACAGCAGTCATGAAACAGAAGGCGTTATTTGGGCAGCAGTCAAGAGACAGAAGGCTGTGGATGACATGATTTCCAATACCGCACGGAGTGGATTAAGAGAAGAATATAATGAACAGGATGGTATCTCGAACTGCAGCTTAAGGTCTCAGCGATTAATGTGCAGCAAAAGAAAAAAATGTCAGCACAAAGTGACAATCGCTGTATCAGCTGTCAGGGACATCTCATTATCTTTAGTTCAGGACAAGATACGCTCAGTTACCCAGCCAGTTTTACATCTCATTACCTTTAGTTCAGGACAATATACGCTCAGTTACCCAGCCAGTTTTACACCTTATTATCTTTAGTTCAGGACAAGATACGTCAGTTACCCATCCAGTTTTATATCTTTAGTTTCCTGACAAGATACGCTCGGTTACCCAGCCAGTTTTACATCTTTAGTTTCCTGACAAGATACACTCAGTTACCGAGCCAGTTTTACACAGAATGAAACAGTTAAATACCAGCCATCCATCTGCACATGTGCATTTGAGCCCTAGACAGCAGAATACACTCTCCAGGTTTTAACAGAATACAACATATTAAAGCAAACTGTGTTGTCTAGAAGAAGAAAAAACATGCAGAAAAAAACATCATTCAGGGGAACTAAGGAGAGTTACATTCATACGAAAGACGATGTTACAGCTATTCAAATGTGTTTAAATCAGACAGAAGAAGAACGACAGCGAAAAGTTAAATCAACTGTGACTGCAACTAAAGCAAACATCCCAACATATCACATAAGCACATAATGTTGACTTTCGTTTTTTGTTAGAGCTAAACCAGAAATAAATACATGTCAGTAATAAGAAAACAGAAACATCGAATGGATGTTATTGCAGTCTTTCGTCTCTCAGAAATAACACTCACCAGTCAAGAATATCATTTAACCTTTAAGTGGCGGCACATATCTACTATAAAAAAAAAATAATTTTGTAATCGAATATGAAATGCGTTTTACAGTTAGGTGTCTCTTTAGCTGAGAATACAGTGAGATCGTTTGACAATCTAATCGTCGAAGTACTCATTCGATTACCATGACTCGTATTTAGGAAAAGTTCTTGTTCTTGTAGCTTTTAGACAGTTAAACGAGAGTCGCACCAAGGAACAATTAGGGACATTCCACGTGACTTTCAAAAAGACAAAAGTCAGTGCACGGCAGATAACCTCCACTTTGGAGACGGCAAATTTTTTGTTTCAATCGACGTTTGTGTCTGCCAGCGTCAAAAGTTCGAAGAACACTGCTGTCAAGAATTTATAACAACCAGCAAGAACACTTCACCATCCGAACCCCCGACCTGTGCGCGTGCGCGCACGCAACCACACACACACACACACACACACACGCACGGACGCACACACAAAAGGCGGTCAATCCCTGGCGTTTCATGCGTCATGATTAAGAAGACCACGAACGTTGTTTTTATCACGTAGACAACTAGGTTTTGGAAAGCAGCTCCCAACGTATTAGCTAAAAATAAACATCCTTCAGTGTCAAACACTGTGTGCACGTACGCCGTTGGTTAGTCCTTAGTACTGATAACAGATTGGTTATAGCTACTTGCATTCTGGGGTTGAACCCTGACAGCAGTTAACAACTACCGAGAGATGCCATTCATATTCAAGGAGTCACTTATATCCTGCACCCATCTTCGTGTTGGTCGGCCCCTGTCCCTCCTTCCTGGTACCTTCTGCCATTTTTTTTCCTAATGCACCATGGCGCTTGAAATGTTCAAACTATTTCAGTTTGGAGTAAGATGCTGTTTATTAGCCAATCTTCTTTGAAGTTCAGATCTTTCAACATTTAAGTATTTCTTCTCTTCTTTGTCCATGATATTCTTAGAATCTTTCTATAGCATTTCAGCTTGAAAACCCTTGTTTTCTTTCCTAAGGACTGGGAGATAGTCCACGACTCACATCCCTATGTTGCTACATGGAAGATGCATGCTCTGAAAATGTGAATTCTGATTTCTTTGCTGGTGCTTACCATAGACTTTTAATGCTGTTTTTTTTTGCACAATTATGGTTACAAAAAGCAAAGGATGACCCTGAATTAAAGCAATCATCATCGGTGTATATATAAAAAAAATACCACCTATGGAACTACACTGATATTTTCATAGATCAGTTGGCATTTGATAGGTGTTGTCAACGTCACACTGAGCCAAGTTGATGTCTGAAAAAAGATCCACTCGGTTCTATTTTATCCGACGTCCGTCGGACTCTCAGGCGAGCGTCTAAGCCTCTACACCACGGCGGCACCGACCACAAATAAATCTCGTATAAAAATCCTATTCTGCGCCATTCGTGTCAACTGCACTAGTCGTTTGATGATAAATTTCAGACTGCAGACGGTGAAAGTTATCCAACATCAGGTAACCGTTATACGCATGAGGAGAAAGACTGCTCACCGAATTTACTGGGCTTAGGACTTTATGTGCCTGTTCTGGTTCACATGTCGGCAATTACGACTCTCAAATCCTGTATCTTGTTTGCCATTTTGAGGAAATTGTTATTGCTTATGCTTGTACCGGTTACTTATCCTGTGTATTCTTCTCTGCTCAAGACATTCTCACATCCTTCTAAAATATGACCAGAATCACAGTTGTCTTTATTCAATGTTTTGTTGATATCATGTCCAGCCACTGTGTTTGATATATTGCAGCTGGTTCCACTAGTGGGGATCATCAGTGCTGCTTGTGTGGGCGCTTCTGCTTTCGTGTGGTACGCAGTGGCTACTAAGCCTGACGTCAGGTAGAGTATGGCGTCTTGTGTTAGATGTGTGGGTCGGTAGTGGGTGCAGTCGTTTCAATGAGAATATCTTCATGTGGGTTCTGGGTGGGGAAGGGCGTAAGAATAGATCCACAGAGACCTCTTTGAAGCATGTCGTAGTAAACTGACTAATAAGAGATGTATCCTTTAAAGGCGGGGTGCATCTGTCTGAGATACAAGAAACCAACAGTCTGCATACAAATAGGTGTGGATGTGCACACAAAACTCAATTTCTAGAACAAGACCTAAGTCCAGAAGTTGATGAACAACCATAACTTTTATAGCCGGTGAACTCAAAGAAGAAGAATACAAGGAAGAAGAAGAAGATAATTAAAGACATGCAAAGACTAGACTCATAATCAAAGCAAGTGGTTATCAATAATAGAGTGTTCCAATTATATAATGTAATGTTTTTTTAAATAAAATTGTCCTAGTAATACTTCACTTAGACAATGGCAGAAAAAGGGAAAACGCAAATGGCAGCTGATATAAGATTAGTAGGTAGAGCAATGAAATAATGACGAAATTAGGAAACAACAACTGACGTAACTGCAGTGATAATTTCCATTATGAAACAAGAGATAAAGTAGCTGGACAGTGCAACTCGGTGTATAGACCAAGTGAAATTCTAAACAAGGGTCCAACGTATAAAAGATGGACTGAAATCTCTGGACCCCATAAACAAGTTCTACAGTGCAGTACTTTCCAGCGGAAAAGTGCAGGTCTCACTGTTGAAATACCAACACATGTTGCTGAATTTTACAGCAGGGCTCCCAATGCTGCCCCCAGACCTGGGTTTTTATTTGACGGGGGGGGGGGGGGGGGAATCTGGGTGTTTATTTTTTAAATATATCCTTATATAAAAGTGGTAAATGTTTCGTTTCGTAAATATAAATTGTGTACATTTTAACAATCTGAGTTTTTTATTTTGTTTTTTTGTTCTTTTTCTATGTATTGCTTGGGTTTTTGTTCAACGAAAGCTGGGTTTTTCAAAAACAAATCCCATTGGCAGCCCTGTTTTACAGTCTTGGAAAACATTTCTATTAGTCTGTGTGGGACTGCAACCTATAGGTTTGATACTGGTGACTCAAATAGGCACTATTTGTATACCAATCCACCAGAAACAAGTCACAGACAACTGTTTTAAAAGATGTATATTGTTGCACTCGACAGCTACACCAAGTAATGACTGTCATGTTTGAACCTTTACTGAGTAATTTACGAAGGCATCCATATGGATGATCACAAGCAGAGTTGTGGGGTTATGGAAAAAAATAATGGCTGTTTAAGGACAATTCAAATATCTTTTTTTTTTCTCTCTCTCTGAAACACCATAGAGCAGGCACATCAAACTGAGGCTCCCCCAAGGAAAATCTGGGTCATATCTGTGTCGTCATGGCGGTTGCACAGGACAAATATTGGGAGTCATTTAATAACAATTATTGCAGAATATTTTGTTTTTGCTGGCCACAAGTGTGCTTGCAAAGGATCGCGTGTGGCCCGGGGAGCGCCAGTTTGACATGCCTGCCATAGAAAGTTTCCACGGCTAACAGTGTATCTTTGATTTGCCTTTACTCCGGCAGGGTGGTGAAGTCTCGGGGTCCTGCATACGAAGATGTTCTTCCCACAGAATCTAGAAAGGTAAGGGTCCAAGTTTAGTCCGATCTTGTGGTGATAACAGTAACTCGTTAAAGCTTTCAGTTTGCTTAGTTATTTACTACATTCGCCAGACATCTCAAGTTTGTGCAAAATAAAGTAATAGTCTATTGGGACAAGACACCTGGCTCCCTCGTGCTGGTTTCGGGGGCTCCATGGGAGGGAAGGGGGATAGACCCATCGCCTCTTCAAAGAGGTGACATTACAACAAGACAACCACCCTCTCAGGAAGTGAGGGGGTGTCAAGAAGAAGAAAAGGAAGAAGAAGGGGGAGTACAAGGAGAAGATGAAGAAGCAGAAGATGAACGAGGAGGAGGAGGGGAAGAAGAAGAAAAAGAAAATAAGAAGAAGAAGGAGAACAAAAAGGTGAAGAAGAAGTAGGAGGAGGAAGAAAAGGAGAAGAGGAAGAAGAAAAAAAAAAGCAGTAGTAGTAGTAGTAGTAGCACCAGCAGAAGCAGCAGCAGCAGCAGCAGCAGCAGCAGCAGTAGTAGTAGTAGTAGTAGTAGTAGTAGTAGTAGTAGTAGTAGTAGTAGTAGTAGTAGTAGAAGAAGAAGTAGTAGTAGTAGTAGTAGAAGAAGAAGTAGTAGAAGAAGAAGAAGTAGTAGTAGTAGTAGTAGTAGAAGAAGAAGTAGTAGAAGAAGAAGAAGTAGTAGTAGTAGTAGAAGAAGAAGAAGAAGTAGTAGTAGTAGTAGTAGTAGTAGTAGTAGAAGAAGTAGTAGTAGTAGAGAAGAAGTAGTAGAAGAAGAAGAAGCCAGTCGGCAAGAATACATCCTGTAAATGTTGAATTCATTAAATACACATTCTCTATAGACAATTGTTACTTTAACTTCACTGGGTCCAACGAAATAATAAATTTAAACTAATCAGTTTTGCATTTAAACATCAGAGTCAGGTATGATATTTCGCTGTCTGCACTCATGGGAAGGGGGTTTATCCCTGGCAGCTGTGTCCTGAATTTATGTATAGTTGTCCTTCGAATGGGTACATGGGCCTCAGAACCATTTAAGATCGCCACAGGGCTATCCCAGGGTTCTGCAATTTCACCAGTGCTCTTCAATGTGTATACAAGCAAGATTGCAAAACTTAAATTACCAGATGTTGGAAGGATATTGAAATTTGCTGATGATGTTATTGCATATAGGCAGGGGAGTAAAAAGCAACAGATAGCCCAAGAGCTACAGGCAACTGTAGACAAAGTGACCAACTGGTGTTCAGAAATGGGTGCTGTCATCAACTCAGAAAAGGCAGCTGTTTTGTGGTAGAATTGTAAGAGCTAATGTTCCAAGCCTAACAGTTAATAACAATAACATCAAAAAAGAAAGCAAACTGAGGTACCTGGGATCACTTTCAATAGAAGCCTGTCCTATTGGGATCATGTGGAGGCAGTTTTGGTGAAATGCCAAAAAGGACTTAATGCTCTCAAGATTAGTACAGCACTGGACATGTAACAAAGAATACTGTTCACAATGTTTCAGCATGTGATCGTCTGTGATAGATTATGGACTTGGCATGTTTACCATATCAAAGAGTCAGCTGATGAAACTTGAACGCATACAGAATGAAGGTAATTCTGGGATGTACAAGAGATACCCTGTAGTGTGTCTGCGATATATACTTTCACTGCCTACTATTGCAGACAAGCTCAAAATTCTGCAAGCAAAGTCATATCTGCAGACAAGAAGCACCTCCTGTATGAAGCCCTGGGTAGAGCTAAGCGTCTTGGATGGTGCAAGCTGAAGACACAATCAGACTTGTGTGCAGGCTTGATAAATTTGTGCGAGGTGAGGAGTGGGTCAAAGTGTCCGAGCAAGTATCAGACTTGTGTAGGGTTCTTATCACTGTAGGTCATGAGTGCATGGATTGGCCAGCTGGTGCTGCAGAATCAGAAGTTCAACAAATAATTCATGACAATTCCCAACCCAAGGAATGTGATTATCTATACAGATGGCTCTGTGTTGAGGGGCAGACGAAGTGCATAGGGGTTTAAAGCAAAGGCTAATGGACGTCACTTAGTACATCAAAACCTGGCATATGATATCACAACGACCAGTTTGAGATTAGAGGTGGAGGCAGTCACTGCTGTCTTCCGCTGGCTTGAGAATCAGCTGTACACACATGCCGTGATTGTCACTGACTCACAGAGCATGTTGAGAAAGGTGGAGACAGGTATGCTTTGTGCAGAGTGGTAGGCATCACTTCAGAGGTCCTAGGTATTCAGTATCCTTTGGATATTCTCTCCCGGTGATGCCGATGTTTTGGAAAATGGGCAGGCAGATAGACTGACTGGTTCTGCACCCCTTGGTGGTAAATTGATGTTTTAGACATTGTGAAGGCCCTCTGGGGGCGAGTGAACAGTGCAGACGCACAAATAGATTATTATGGTCTGAGGAGAATGGTGTTGCGAGGAGTTACAAGGAGATCTGGTTGATGCTAAACACTCAAGGGAAGGGCGAGATGAATATACAATCAGACAGTGACTGGTGTCATTGGAATTTGAACTTTTCATTTGCTGCTGAAGATAGAGACGGAGCGCTTATGGGAGTATCCTGAGTGCTAAGATATCAATTTCTAATTCAACATTCAAGGAGTTAGAGAACAGTGGGTTAATGTAACAACTAGATTAAGTCAAAGTCGAGAGGATCGATGTTATTGCACTGGGTTTTATCCCATATGGCTCGGCTCTCTCCAAAGAACAGCTAGCCCTCTGCCGAAAGCACCGTACAGAGCACGAACTGTAGCGATGATCCCCAGGGATCTACATAAAAATTGCATTTGTTTACTGAAGGGGGCATATTGAGAATCAAACCCATGATCTTCAGAGCGTGAGGCAAACGGCTTGACCTCTTTTCCACAGACACACACCTCCCCCTTTCCGAACATCAGCAACTAGATAAGGACTTCAACAAAACTGCACCATGAGCGGATTGACCATGTCTGGTATGGAATGAGATAACATTGTACACAAAGACAAGAATTGTAGAAATCTGCAGGCTTGTTTCTTTTGATGAATCTGTTTAGTGTTAACTCAATTCTCTAATGTTACACACATGATGTCTTGTGTTTCAGATGATTATCTTACACACATGATGTCTTGTGTTTCAGATGATTAACTTGGACAGAACCAAATACCAGCCTATTCCTGAACTGCAGGCATTGAGGAAGGAGATCGGAAGCTACAAAGCCTAAATGAATGGACACATTTTGTAAACAAATAGACTTATCTGTGGTGTAGCAAGTACAGTTGTACATATAGTATATTTTAGAGGAACAAAAACAGGGTTTAAGAGGACAAAATTGTGTCATAACCTTCTAAAACAGTAGGGGTGTATAAGAAAAGGACCATGCCATTCACTCGCCAGCCATCTGCTACAGCCAGGAAAACACTGTGAAGCCATGTAAATGATTCGGTGTGTTTGCTATAGCATATATAACAACGTATCTTGTCCTGTGATAGGGCTGCACAGTACTTTCTGAAGCCGCTAAAGGTTCCTGAATTACTTCTTATGAGATTCAGCCGGCTATCTGGGTATTTACCAGTTGGATTAAAATCTAGGATGCTGCACATCAGATCGCTAAATCTTAAATCTTCAGTTAGAAAGGGGTTAAAAAAAAAATAACTGGCGAACAGAATAGTTCATGTGCATTGCGTTACGGTACATTTAGATTGCATTTCATGCCACTTCTGGCAGTGTACATCATCAGCAAATGCCTTGCCCACTGAGCTGGATGATCGTGTCTCTCCACAGCTTGCAACCCACAAAAACAGGAATCACTTCGTATCTGTTGTCAAGAATCTTTTCTCATTGTTTTCCTGATTCCTGTTTTTGCTAATCTTTATAACTGTCACATGTTCCAGTTTTTCAATTAACAGCATACTGAATGTTGAATTATATCTGGGTTGTGTTCTTGTTTTAAATGGGCAAAAGAATTTGAGGTTGGTTTATTACGGCCAGTGATAAATTGTGGTCTTGATGTTAGCAGCGACATCTGCAGAAGCTGGCCATCTAGAATGTTACCGTTGTGAATTTTGATGATGTGATGTACACACTTTATTAAATTATGCTTAATGAGCGTTTTTTTTTTAATTCTCTGGCTCTGTGTTTATTGGGTGATTTGTCTGTGATTTACCTCCGGTGCCAGTCAATATCATCAACAGCAATACAGGTTGAAATGTCTCTTCTTGATATGGTCTACTGTGAGTGCATGAATTATAACAAGAAGAAACTACCAATAATGTTGTGAGAAGCAAATAAAAATTGTTAGCAATACAATGCAAGCAATCAAGATAAGCATTACATTGCAACAAATCAAAAAGAAGTGACAGTAGCTGTCTTCAAGATCAAGTCTAAAGTACAACTGTACCAATCATGTACATGAAGGCAGTAGCTGTCTTCAAGATCAAGTCTAAAGTACAACTGTACCAATCATGTACATGAAGGCAGTAGCTGTCTTCAAGATCAAATCTAAAGTACAACTGTACCAATCATGTACATGAAGGCAGTAGCTGTCTTCAAGATCAAATCTAAAGTACAACTGTACCAATCATGTACATGGAGGCAGTAGCTGTCTTCAAGATCAAATCTAAAGTACAGCTGTACCAATCATGTAAATGGAGGCAGCTGTCTTCAAGATCAAGTCTAAAGTACAACTGTACCAATCATGTACATGGAGGCAGTAGCTGTCTTCAAGATCAAATCTAAAGTACAACTGTACCAATCATGTAAATGGAGGCAGCTGTCTTCAAGATCAAGTCTAAAGTACAACTGTACCAATCATGTACATGAAGGCAGTAGCTGTCTTCAAGATCAAGTCTAAAGTACAACTGTACCAATCATGTAAATGGAGGCAGCTGTCTTCAAGATCAAGTCTAAAGTACAACTGTACCAATCATGTACATGAAGGCAGTAGCTGTCTTCAAGATCAAGTCTAAAGTACAACTGTACCAATCATGTGCATGGAGGCAGTAGCTGTCTTCAAGATCAAGTCTAAAGTACAACTGTACCAATCATGTAAATGGAGGCAGCTGTCTTCAAGATCAAGTCTAAAGTACAACTGTACCAATCATGTAAATGGAGGCAGTAGCAAGTCTAAAGTACAACTGTACCAATCATGTAAATGGAGGCAGTAGCTGTCTTCAAGATCAAGTCTACGGTACAACTGTACCAATCATGTAAATGGAGGCAGTATTTGTCTTCAAGATCAATTCTACAGTACAGCTGTATAGATTATCCTCATTGCACGTCGACGTTTGGCGACACCCAGTTTGCAGTCTGATCATGGTTGCAGATTCATAGTTCTCAGTCGGTTCACGCAAACCTCTAAACTCTCTTAGAGCATCAGTATATCAGCCTGGTCCATGGCTTGCCTGGCTTTAACAGTAGCCTTACCAACAAGCGTATGAGCTTGCTCATTTCCTTGTACCCCCACATGTATCCTTTCCATCTGCTTATGGCTGAGAGTCAGGATCGCCATCGCGTATTCAAAACCAGAAAGGGCTAGACCCTAATATAAAAGACATAGATGACGTTGCTCACAGTTTGCCACGGCCATCACTCTCATCGCAGCCAGACACCGCTTGGCTTTCATTATAATCTGATCTATGTGCTCAGTATAAGCAAGGTATTGATCAAAATGCATTGCATTCGTTCTTTCCACATCTTCAGAACACAGACTAACAACAACTGGTGTTGGAGTTTTCACAATATGGTTATTCAAAAAAAAACCACTGCCTCTTTCGTTGGGTTGACTAGTGCATCAGCTTCACCACACCAAGTGCTTATGCGGTTAAGCTCTTTTTGTAGTTCTTCAGCAACCTTCTCTCTACACTTACCTTGACGATACACTAACACATCATCAGCGAAAATAGGTAAAGGATATAAGTGACTCCTTGGGTATAAAAGGGCGCAAAGCAGGAGAGCTGGCGAGAAACCGAGCACCCTCCCTCTCCACCCCCTCCCAGGCAGACCATGAAGAGAGCGACATTCTGTAAAGAACCTGCAACATGATTATGATGATGCCACTCCAATTAAACGCAACTGGCGACGGCTCCGATCCGATCCGATTTTGAGCAAAAAAATAGAAATGGTCACGTTAAACCAGCATTTTCAAAGGGGGAGCTTTTGGTTAAAATTTTGTCTAGGTTATTTGTGCTACATATAGTGGCTTAACATTGCTCGCCACCAAGTAGCCCTGAAAAAGACCTTTGCAGTGTTGATGCGATCAAAGGAGACAGACCCAAATATTGTCTGACCGGCGACGAATCCATCTACCGGCCAACCAATAGGCGACCTGGTCGCCGATGAACTGATCAGGGGATGATGATGATGATGTTTTACCCCACCAGGGACATTATACTGAGCGATAAACACCCGGTGACTTAAAATGCCACTATCCGAATGAGGATCACCATTGGACAGGTCTCAGAAACCCTGTTCAACACATATGTTAAGTTATATTAGGGCCCCTGGCAACTGCCGAGGTGGGGCTTCTAAATTAAAAAAAAAAATTGTTGTTAGCTACTTACTACAACTGGTCACGGGTCGTAGGTTTGTGGTTAATCATATTCTGTCATCCCCTTGTAGGTGGCAATTTTTCGTTTTTTGAAGCCCTACTCTGGCTATTGCTCGGCCATAAATATGGTCTAATGGCTGATCGCGGTTTCTGGGACCTCTCCACGGGGATCCTCACCCATATGGTGGGACTTTGGTAAAAGAAGATAGGTAGATATAAAGGTTTGTGGTTTGTGAGTAATGTAAAAAGTTCAGTAACTCTGGTCTTTTCTCAATTTACCTGGACTACTTCCCTTACACTATTAGTTTTTGACAATGTGAATTAAACACAAAAAGCAGACATGACCCACCCCCCCCCCCCCCAAACACCACACAACACACAACACACACCACATCAAACACATATCAATCGGTAGTGTAAATGTAGTTTACAAAGAAAATGAAAAGCATGCGGTGCGAATTTCAAGTTAAAACTGATTTGAAAAGAATAAAAAAAGAAAGGTTAGGAAAGGAGCACACCGAATTCGTTTTGGTGTAAGTCTCATACTGTGAACAGTATATTAGAAAAAAAAAGGTTTTCAAATATTAGTTCAGATCGAGATGCCACCTAATAAACCATTATTAGAGCCAAGAGATATTATGCATTACAACAGCACAAAATATGATTCACAGAAAAGGTTACAAGAAACAGAATTACATTACTGAGGAGAGTCTTAGTTAATGGAAGAATAAAGAAAAGTAAAAAAAAAAAAAAAAAAACCGGACACTAACAACACTATATACAAAAGTCACATAAAGAAAGTGGAACATGCAGTTAAAGAAGACAAGACACAATTTATAATCAAGACATGTAACAAAATGGAGCATCTGCGGCAACAGGATGGGGACAGAGAAATACAGTGGAACCTCGCTTAACGAGCATAATTCGTTCCAGAACCACACTCGTTAAGCAAAACACTCGTTATGCGAAAAAAAAATTCTCATATCAATTAATGTAAAATACGATAATGCGTTCCATGTCGAAAAAAAAATACTAACAAAATGCTTTGTATAACGTTCATTCAAAGAAAATTATCTGCATATTGTTAAGGAGAGTGAATCATCTTCATCTTTTCTTCAAACGCGGAACGAACCCATCTGGAATGTGAATTTGATTTGCAGAAAAAAAAAAGTCGAAATAATTATGATACATAGATAATTACTTTTTTTTACTAGAAAGATGTCCAGAGACATTTGTTGTTGCCGACGATCAAAATTTGGCGAAAATGCTACACAGCATTATCATTAAATAAATTTGCAACGCGCATAGCTCCTTCCTTATTAGGGTGATGCTTCTCAATGTAAGATGTAACAGTTTGCCATGCTTCCAGCATTTCTCTTTTTTGCCAGAAGATTGTTACTTTACTGTTACCTCCTCCTCCTCTGACAAACTTTCCTCAAAAACTTCTTGCAGTGAAACACAATGCAACTTCATAAGCTCTTGGGTGGTCAGCTCTTGGCTGTGTTCTTCCACAAGCTCTTCGATATCACTGTTATCCACCTACAATCCCATGATAGTGGTCAAAGTCATAATCTCGTTGACTACAGGTTTCACAGGTACTGTCTCGAACCCCTCAAAGTCACAAAGCGACAAGGCTCTACGGCCAAAGCTTCTTCTAAGCAGAAGTTAGGGTTCTC